TATGTCAAGAGATGACTAGACCTTTTGTTATTTTATTCCTACAGTACTAGCAAACGTTTGGCAACGGAGAAACTTCCTATATGAGCACCGATCATAAATCCAGATTATATACGAGACATATAGAAGGTGCATGTTTGAAAAAAAAAAAAATAACAGGACAAAAAAAATCTCACTCTTTATTAAATATAGATATTGATTTTATTACTCCCTCCATCTCAAATTATAAGTAAATCAAAGAATCTTAGAGAGTCAAAGTATCTTAAGTTTGATCAAATTTATATGATAAGATAATAACATTTAGGATATCAACTAAATATCATTAAGTACTTTATTAATTATATTTTCATAATATATCTATTTGATATCATAAATCTTTGTAATTATCTCTATAATTTTAGTCAAACTTAAGATACTTTGACTCTCCAAGATTTTTAGAATAACTTATAATTTAGAAACTGATAGAGTTAGAGTAGATATGTATAACCGCCGTAGCATTTTACTTGCATGCATCGCCAGCATTGGCTTGGCAACACGTGTATGATGAACAATTGGTCATCAATTGCCCATCAATCCCCTGGATTTCTCATAATGCTATCCATAAACCATAATTGATTGACGCTACACCTGGTTCATTCATCAGCTTCATTGCTTCTGCTGACTGCTGCCTTTTACTAGAATCTAGTCTAGTACGTAGTGTCGTAGCTAGAATCTTGTTGCCTTCAAACACAAGGCAAAAGCATATGCGTGCGTCAAGCTAGAGTATGGGCGTGTGGCACTATGGCAGGCCATGGCATGCCTGTCATGCGAGCCAAAGCCAGATAGCGAATGTCGTCATGTGCAGTGACGCTGGCATCCGACACCTTTCGAGTCAAGAAGGATAGCTCGACAGTGTTATGAGCCCAGCAGTAATTAAGTTAACTGAACTGAACTCCGGCACGGCACTCTGTCCGTCGCACGGACAGCATCACCACCACAATCTGTCGTGATGATTACCGTAGCGTGGCAGGACAGGGGGCGAAGCGAGCAAATCCGAGGAGTGCATTTGTCTGCTAGGTACAAGAATCAACTAGGGATGTAAGTGAAAATTATCACTACGTTTATAATTTCGTGCGAGGACGGTAGTATCGACTAACGATTGATTGTTCGAATGAACTTCTACCGTCCTCTCTTTCCAAATCTCCCAATTCACATACTTTTCAGCGGAAAGAGACATCAGTGCTGGACCTCATCCAAAAGATCAAAGAAGAGGCAAGGACTTGGGGTTTGGCTGGTGCAAAAATTTTGACCGCCTTGATTGTGGGCGCCTAGTTTCGCTCTCTTGTGATTAATTTGTGCTGTTTTGTGTTCGTTTGGCTCCCTGTAATTAGCCTGTCTGGGCTCCCTGTTTGTACTCTTCTTCTATATTAATAGAACTGGTGCACAGTCTCATGCCCGTTCCTTAAAAAAAACTTCTACTGTCCATATAGAAGGATGTAATTATCAATCTTCCAGGAGTGAAATGATTTGAAGCTTGATAAAAGTTATATAAAAAAATTATAAGTTAAATACTATTAAATTAATTATAGACTATATTTTTGTAGTAAATTTAGTTGAAGACATAAATATTAATACTATTTACTGCAAATTTAATCAAAGTCAAGCTAGTTTGATTTGTATAATTTCATAGTTACCTATTTTCTTTTGGACGGAGGGACTCAATTAGTGAACAAGAGGTCCCTTTCACCTCCGGTTGTGGCTTGCCGAGTTTGAATAGATAAATATAAGTTGAGTAAATTTGTACGGGTTCGAGTGTGGGTCTGAGAACATGTTGGATCAGGATTTGGTGTGAAATCGGCCTCTAATTCCTTCTCCAAAGCACATTTGCTCGCCAGCCACAACGCGCCACACGGAACGTATTTGCGGTGGCGCCTAAGCTAGGGGCCTGTGGCGGCAAAACTGATGTCACACCCCCCTCAGAAAAAAAAAAAACTGATTTCACACCTGCGGCGAGAATCACTACTGCTAGCTAATATGGAAGGTTGTTGTGCGGCAAGCTTGATAATAAAAGAACCAAACCACAACAGTGTTTTACCAGGAGGATCTGTGGTGTGGCTGGTGGTGACGGGTATGGATGAAAACGGTACGGATATTTATTGCAAGTTTGATTCATCAACAAATATGAACACTTAAATCGATTGATTGTTCGGATATCCGCTTTTTTTTACGGATACTCTCGGATATCCAGGCGGATATCAAATACGGATGTAATATCATCGATATCCAGCGGATATCGGATAATCCGGATAAGTATCGGATATATCCGGATATTTAAAAAACGGATATTATCAGGATATTTATTCAAAATTTAAAATCACAAATTTGAACCATCCAAACTATCTTAAATGGAAAGTTGACCAAAACAACAATTGTAGATCTTGATGAGTTGAACAAACTTGGTATTCAAAACTTTTCAATTTGAAGTCATTTAGAGTTCATAATACTAGAGTCAAAGTGTTGTTTTTTCATTTGACCAAATTTGACTTGGTCAAACTTGCTCAAATGAGACACTAAATGACCTCAGATGAAAAAACTCTGAATACCAAGTTTGATCATCTCAGCAAGATATACAATTGTTACATAGCTCATTTTCCCATTTGAGAAAGTTTTATCAAACACTAGTCACAAATTCTTGAATCTCATATAGACTTTCTGAAACTATGTCACACACTTGTGAAATTTGAACTACATTTTGTTCAAACTTTCTCAAATGAAAAATAGCCTATATAAGGATTGTAGATCTTGATGAGCTGAACAAACTTGGTATTCAAAACTTTTCAATTTGAGACAATCTAGGGTTCCGAAAACTAGTTTGTAAGCATCGAAATTTAAAAATCATAAATTTGAACCGTCTAAACTATCTCCAATGGAAAGTTGACCAAAACAAGAATTGTAGATCTTGATGAGTTGAACAAACTTGGTATTCAAAACTTTTCAATTTGAAGTCATTTAGAGTTCATAATACTAGAGTCAAAGTGTTGTTTTTTCATTTGACCAAATCTGACTTGGTCAAACTTGCTCAAATGAGACACTAAATGACCTCAGATGAAAAAACTCTGAATACCAAGTTTGATCATCTCAGCAAGATATAATTTTACATAGCTCATTTTCCCATTTGAGAAAGTTTTATCAAACACTAGTCACAAATTCTTAAGAGGTCCCTTTCTAAAACTATGTCACACTTGTGAAATTTGAACTACATTTTGTTCAAACTTTCTCAAAATGAAAAATGGCCTATATAAGGATTGTAGATCTTGAATCCATGACCATGACTCCATGAGACCCATGAAGCAATGTCTTGGCTATTTCTACTCAAAGAAGATTGGTGCTTATATGATGTTTGATGTATGATGAACGTATCTTTATCTTATTTGTTGCTTTTACTCTTTAGGGGCTTAATCTAGATAGATTATGGACTCATATGTGTAACACCCCTCATGATATATATATATACTGATTTTTTACCAATATCGAGAATAGATATTTGTATCAGGCCTTCTCGAATGGAATACCGTATTGATACTCATTAATCCGTAATGTCAATCCGTATTCGTATAATCCGAGCGTTATCCGTGTCCAGAATCCGAATCCACGAAATGAAAACAAATATAATTTTGACCAGGAGGATCAGATGGGTCCGCTTTCATCCCTACCCTAGTGACGGGTAACCAAAACACGCCCAATTCGCTGAACTGGTCCACGAGTAAACACAGGAGACCTGTGCGTATGGGTATGGGGAAAAAAAAGAATCGCAAGCTGATCGAGTGACCGGGGCTCGGTTGGCCGGTTGGGGGACATGCCAGTCAAGCTCTGTGTGTGAGCCCTACCACTCGTCCACTCCCCTGGTTGAGTCTATCTCCTCCATGGACGGTTGCAGGCATGGACCATGGTTCCATGATGACTCCACGGCCGCCTGTCAATGGACCAACCACAGCGCCACAGCGGAGAGTTCCCGGAGATAATAAATAATAAAATAAAACAAAAGACGTGGATTGGGCCTGCTGGACGCGGGCCCCACCACCAGCACGTCCTGGCCCCTTCACCTTCCATTCCGTCGTTCCCCTTCTCTCCATTCAGCTGCTCCTTCCATTCCCTACCCTGCCTGCCCCTGTCCTTTCCTCGCCCTTGCCCTCCGCGCCATACTAGAACAGAATGTTCTACTAGTTCTTGGATGCTCTCGCGCCCGCAACATTCCCTTCCCTTGTACGGCCCCGCCCCTTCCATAAACAAAAACCAACCCGGCGCCGCCTGCCTCCCCTCTCTCTCCTCGTCCCACGGTATCCGCCACGGGGTTCTTGCCTCCAGGGGTCCGCCCGTCCCTTCTTCCTCGTTACCCTGACCAGTGGGTTTAGCGCACGCACGCGCAAGCGCCGGCGGTTGATTCCCCGCGTAAAGCTTGGATCTTGGCGCGTGGACTGCCGTAGGTGCCGGCGGCGGATAGGCCGCGAGGGTCTGGTAGGAGAGCGTCCTCTTCGGACGGCGCGGCGGTGGTGTGGTGTGGTGTGAACAGGCCACAGATTTCACTGTCCCGGGTTCAGGTACGCGATTTCTCTCTCGTTCCCTTTTTTATTTCCAAATAAAGCCCCCTAATTCCGGCGTGCGAATTCCTCAAGTCCTGACCGATCCCCTCTCCTGTATCAGAATCACTTCTCTGCAGATGTGCAACTTCGTCTGGCTCTTCCGCGTGCTCTGGCGGATCCTCAGCGTCGCCTTCTGAGCCTCCCACACCCCGCGCTCTCCACTTCGCCGCGGCCGTCGGCTCCCGGACTGGACTGAGTGGGGAAAGTTTCCCGTCGGTCCAAGCGCGTCGCGTGCGGTGCGGGCGGAAAGCCGGGACGCTGCTGCCTTAGTCTCACACAAGGAAACCCCCGCGCCCCGCGCACCCATTCATGTAGTGTGGTGGTGTCCACTGTACTGCTGGGTGGCCTTGGAGGTTGGAACCAGCTGCAGCTCCGTCCCGGACGATGGCCTGCCTCAAGCTGGGATCCAGGGCTGATGTGTTCCGGAAGCAAGGGCAGGAGTGGTACGCACTTTCCCCTGCCATGTTGCCTTGCCATGCCTAATCTGCACAGTCATTTGTTTATTTATTTGTTTATATATAACTGGCTTACTAATTGATTTATTTGTGCAGTGCTTAATTGACTGATTTGCGCAATGTTTAATTGACTGATTTGATGATACAGTTATTATGTATCATTGTTATACCTACGACCACAATAGACCACTAGCATTTGTCTATGCGCCGAATCAAAGGTGCCATGCATGATACTAGAAGCTGCCGTACATCCACTGCCAAAACTCTTCTTCTTGGCTCTATCTGCGGCTCTGCTTATAGTATATAACCCATTTCTCTCGAATGGCTGGGATTCAATCAGAAAGTGGGAACCAGCTATAAGAGATTGGAGACCTTATCTTTTGTTTTTGGCTGCTACCACTTTCTGGATAGATTTACTATCAGTGGTCGAAAATACAGCCTGTTAATACGAGCCCGCTAAAATTTCTGTTTTGATGCATTCTAGGCAACGACGAAATTCGATCTGTTGGTGGAGGCCAACATTTCTTTTCTTTTGTACTGCTTTGGAACTTATTGAGGTGAAGGCAGTAGTGGGTACATAGAGCGCGTGTAGTGAGGAAATCTTGTCCTAGGTTTAGTATTTACAGCCGCGATATCCCCCTTTTATTTGCCAATTATTTCCGTTGACTTTGGGGGCTTGTATTATGATCCGAGTGCTTGTTTAGTTCCCGAAACCTTTCCCAAAAAGTGTTACAGTAGCCATCACATCGAATCTTGCGATACGTGCATGGAGCATTAAATGTAGACAAAAAAAAAAACTAATTGCACAGTTTGGTTGGAAATCGCGAGACGAACGTTTTGAGCCTAATTAGTCCATGATTGAACACTAATTGCCAAATAAAAACGAAAGTGTTACAGTAGTCAAATTCCCAAAATTCGCGAACTAAACACAGCCGCCTCGCACATGGTGAGCACTAAATGGACCGAATTTGGTCCTTCACACTTTGCACTGTCACCACATTATGCTGGGTACTCTGGCAGATACTGGCCCTGCAGCGTGTAAATACACTTCTGCAATTATGCTACTTGAGATAACTTATTGCTCTACCTAGTACAACGCCTGAGCTTTGAAGAACTATCTTTTATTACTGAACAATCTCTTACTTAGAACTGCCTATTTGGGTCAGGAGCAGAAGAACATATGTGACCGTAGCTTCAAAGACCTAACTTGTTCAAAATTTATCAGTAGTGTTGATAACAATTGATCAAGTATTTTTAATCTTTTTTTAGCCCTCTCTTGGTAAAGCTGAAGTTTGTTCTCTCTCTCTCTCTCACTCTGTCTGTCTTTGAAATAGCAGGCCTTGATAGCTTCATGGTGTTGGATAATCTGTACTGTTAAACTGTCTTTCATGTTTCTGAATAGCAACTGTATGCCCATAACCAGGGATACGATGACATGATGCCTATTGTGGATCCTTTTCATGATGGGCAAGAAAATTATTATCTTGTATGGTTTACTGGGATGAGTTCTCTACTTATTTTCATGCATGTCCCTCTGTTAAAGTTGTCAAAGTACATGTTTTACTAAAGGTTGAGTTATCCAAAGAGAAAATGAATGCTGAAAAGTTAATGTCCATTATGTTACAGGTACTGCACATCTGGTCTTCCCAGTGATATAACTGTGGTAGTTGGGGAACAGTCTTTCCATCTTCACAAGGTAAATTTTCACCAGAAACAACCACAACTGTTTCTTTCTTTCGTACCGTTTTCCATTGCTTCACACCATTTGTGCAATTGACTCGTTTCTTTGAATTTGGGTCTGTTACAGTTTCCTCTATTATCAAAAAGTGGCCTGTTAGAGAAGCGTATCAGAGAGAAAATCGATAAGGGGGACGATAACTGTACCATTGATCTATCTGACATTCCTGGTGGAGCAAAGGCTTTTGAACTGGCTGCCAAATTTTGCTATGGTGTAAAGTTTGAAATGACTGCCTCCAACGTTGTACACCTTCGTTGTGCTGCTGATTATCTTGAGATGACAGAAGAGATATCTGAGGAAAATTTGATCGCACAGACCGAGTACTTCCTTACCCAAACAGTCCTCAGGAGCTGGAAGGATTCAGTCAAGGCGCTTCAAACTTGTGACAATGTCCTTGAAGTTGCTGAAAGATTGCAAATTGTAAAGAGGTGTGTAGACTCTATTGCAACTAGATCATGCAGTGACCCTGATCTATTTGGCTGGCCAGTAGCCCAGTATGGAGGCCCCATGCAGAGTCCTGGAGGGAGTCTCTTGTGGAATGGTATTAGCACAGGAGCAAGGCCAAGAAATAGCAGCCCGGATTGGTGGTATGATGATGTCTCATGTTTAAGCCTTCCGTTATACAAAAAACTCATCTCAGCCATGGAGTATCGGGGCATCAGTCAGGAGATTATTGTTGGATCCCTTAACCATTATGCCAAAAGGCGTTTGCCTGGTTTGAATCGGCGTAAAAGCATCAGTGATGTCAGCAACTGTCTTTCTGTGACTAGTTTAACATCCATCCCTTCTGAAGATGACCAGAAATATCTTCTTGAGGAGATCGATCGACTACTACCTTTCCAAAGGGGTGTTACATCATGCAAGCTACTTTTTGGCCTTCTGCGCACAGCAATCTTCCTGAAAGCCAGTCCCTCCTGCATGTCGAACTTGGAGAGACGGATAGGTATGCAGCTTGACAAGGCCAGCCTGGAAGATCTTTTGATACCGAATGTCTCTGATTCTGTGGAAACACTGTATGATGTGGACTGTGTGCAGAGGATTGTAGACCATTTCATGGCAATGGACCAAGAAACTGGTGGGGCCTCCCCTGGCATTGGTGAAGATGGGCAAATGTTAGCCTCACCATATTTAATGCCAACAACTATGGTTGCTAAGTTGATTGATGGTTATCTAGCTGAAGTTGCACCAGACATGAACTTGAAGCTGCCAAAGTTTCGGTGTTTGGCTGCTGCTATACCAGATTATGCTCGTCCAATAGATGATGGGCTTTATCGTGCTATTGACATATATCTCAAGGTAACACTTGGTTTTATTTGCTCTTTGTGAAAGTTTTCACTTCCTGAAGAACACAGATAAAGTTAAATTTTCACTGCATATGTGTTTCACAGTTCTTTCATATCATATCCTACAATATTGGTAGTATCATTGCATTGGAAAGGAATTGGTGGATGGCTGTTCTCACTGTTCATAGTTCCAACGATTAGGTTTAGAAACCTACTCCCTCCATCCTAAAATAAATGTCGCTATGGTATCCGTGCTGGTCAAACTTATTTTAAGTTTGACTAGATTTGTAGAGAATATTAGCAATATTTGTATCTCCAAATAAGTTTGTTATGAAAATAGATTCAATGATCTATCTAATGATACTAATTATGTATATTAATATTTTTGTATATATTTGGTTAAAGTTAAAAATGTTTGACTCATCGAAAAGCGAGAACGCCACTTATTTTGGGACGGAGGGAGTATGATTTTTGTTGCATCGAGAATTCGAAATGATGCTTACTCGACAATGTTGTATTCAAGTCATATTCTGATATCGTTGTTGCATTTTAATTGCACATAGGACATAATTTACCCTGTATTTATTTATGTAACAGAATGTTTGGCAATTATCACACAGATCGATCACCTTCATGTTTAATTTGCTCACAGTCCACTTTGTTTTCGTTTGGTAGGCGCACCCACATCTGTCAGAATCAGAGAAGGAAGAGCTCTGCCGGGTGATGGACTGCCAGAAGCTGTCCCTGGAGGCCTGCACGCACGCAGCTCAGAACGAGCGCCTCCCTCTCCGCATCATCGTGCAGGTCCTCTTCTTCGAGCAGCTCCAGCTACGGAGCTCAATCGCGGAATGCCTCATGATCTCGGAGCCCCTTGATGGTGTTGGCGGCGGCGGCGTCTCGCGGCAGCTCGGCGGCCTACATGTCTCGGGCGAGCACCACCGCGGCGCCGGCTGGCCCCTGGCTGCCAGGGAGAATCAGACGCTTCGGGAAGGCATGGACAGCATGAAGCAGCGGGTGTTCGAGCTGGAGAAGGAGTGCTCCGCCATGAGAGAGGACATCGAGCGGCTCGGCCGCAGCCGGAGCGCCGGCAAGAGCAGGTTCCCGTTCGCGCTCACCGCAAAGCCCGTCTGCAGCACCAAGGACAAGGAGGCTGCTCCGGAGACGTCGAAGTCAAAGTCAAAGTCAAAGGCAGTGGCGACGGGGAGCGAGGACAAGCTGGCCGTGGTCAAGGGTGGCGCTGCCAGTGATGGCGCGCTGCAGCTGAAGCACAGGAAGCACAAGATGAACCTGTCAGCCTGTTAGATATCTACAGACACACAGTATAGGCCCTGGATGAACACGACTGAGTGAGACACTATAGATATAATTGTGATCCTCATGTTTTTTGGCATTTGCTCAGTGAAAATCCATAGCGTTACCAGCATCTTTTGGACTTCGACATCCATAGTTCCAGGGGGAATATGCTCCAGCTGTTCCATGCTTTCCGTTGTACTTGTACATGGCCATGAATCTGAAAGTAATTTACTAGTAGAATCCAACCAAGTTTCTGTGAAATTTCTGGGCTCCAAACCGACTCTCAAACCTCAAATTTGAAAGGGCATACGCATTGATTCGGATAAATGCCTTGTCACTTTTTCTTCTCAAATCAATTTGGGTGAAAACCCGAACGAGACTGCCTGCCGTTTTTAAGTATTTTGAATTCAAATATGATTCCATTGGATTGCTGAAAGTGTTTATATTCAAGCATCTCAATGATGGACTGTTCGCTTCTGCTTATTGCGGCTGTTTGGGCTGCAGCTACACAGCACAGCCCAGCTGCAGCCCAAGCAGCTGCCCAGGCCTGCTCGCTTCTGCTTACTGCGGCTGTTTGGGCTGCAGCTGCACGGTACAGCCCATCGGCTGCACCTAGACTTTCCTCCGAACCTTTTAGCTGTGTGTCGTTACGAAAGATAGTCCTGAGTTACATGCTGTTAAAAAGTTTGAACACACTTTAGTGTCATGACGCTAAACTTTCTTACCTTCCACACCATTCCATCTATATTTGTCTCTAACGGTGTCAAACCACAGCAACAAAGTCTAAAATGCTCTCAGGAATTTATTTTCTCATTTTCTTTTCTTCCTCACTTATTTTATTTCCTCCCTCTATTCTATCCGATCGGCTGGGCAGCTTCTGCACAGATCTGCATGCCTCCGTGCTGCCGTGCGTCCGTGAACTGGTCGGCGCCCATGGGCCACGCTAGCATGGCCACCCCGACGACGGCCTCTTCCAGCACCTAGTTCCAGCCCACGGCACGGTGGCGCAGCACCTCCACCTACGGCGCCCACCCGCAGATCACCAGCCCGCGCGACGTCGTGCCTGCCTCGAACCCGTCCGGCACCGTAGTGCCTACCCTCGTTGCCCACACGAACGCTGTCGAGTTCCGCGCTAGCTCCGCAGAGCCCACACGAACGCAGCCGAGACCACACGAACGCGGCAGCTCAGCCACGGACGCCGCCTGCGTCGGTGACAGCGCCTGCTGTGTCCCGAAGCTAACGTACACCACGGAGCCGTCCGGGAACGCGTCCACCCACGCGGTCGCCCCCCGACGACGTGGCCACGCCGCCGGCGTCCGACAACGAGTCCACCGCGAACACTTCGTCGCCGGGCTACGGAGAGGGCGTGTGACATGGCGAGGTGGAGCGCACAGGAGGAGGAGAAGGTGACATGTGGCACGCGCGGACCAGCGACGCGAGCAGCGTGGCATTGCCGGACGGGAAGGCGTAGCCGACAACGTTTTTGGTTGGGGCCGAGGACGACTGCAAGCAGTGGAACACGGCGGCGCTGCTCGTCGGCCATGGTGGTTGCGGCAGCGCTCTGTCGATCTCTATCCCTGAGCTGTAATCGACCAAGGTAGGTAGTCCATCGGAACTCCCTTGCCCTCCTCTCCCTCCCCATGGTCTTGATTAGAAAATGGTGAAGCTCCAGAGAGCTGCCATGGTGGTTGCGGCGGCACTCTGTCGATCTCTATCCCTTCGACCAAGGTAAGTAGTCCATCGGAACTCCCTTGCCCTCCTCTCCCTCCCCATGGTATTGGATTAGAAAATGGTGAAGCTCCAGAGAGCTGCCATGGTGGTTGCGGCGGCCCTGCCGTGCCCCGTGACTCTGCTCTCTCTCCTCTCCCTGTTGCGTGACGGGTGGCGGCATGGCCGCGGTGTCTTCACTCGGTCGCTCGTCTAGACTGGTCGGAGCACGCGGTGGTGGGGGCGCGTAGCCGGCGGCGCGCAACCGCGGCGGAGCTAGGCGAGGTCCGTGGCGAAGTCCGCACGAGCTCTGGCGGCATGGTCGCGCGGGCAGCGAGCTCCGACAGCGGGGGGCGCAGGGGCACAACTGGAGCCGAGGAGACGCACACGGCCGGCAACGAGCTACACGCGTCCAACATCGGGCTCGGGGTGGACTCGCCTCGCCGCGCGCATCCGTTGCTGCCCTCGAGGTCGGCCACGCGCTAACGCTCACGTAGGCCACGCCTGCCAAGCCACCGTCGTAGGCATGCTTTATGTAGAGGAAGATGACACAGCCTGTTCGTTTGGCTGTGGCTTGTCGTAAATGATCATAAATTTTCAGCCGGAACATTATTTTTCTCTCGCACAAACTAGCCAGCGGTACTTCTTCACGAACCAGCAATGAAACGAACCAGCCAACCGAACAGGCTGAGGATGAGGAGGAAGACGGTGACTAGGTCACTTACGGCTTGGCCCCACCGACTAGAGAAAAAGAAGGATATTCCAGACATCGTCACTTATCGACCCCGCGTATGGATGGAACGGCATGGAGAGAAAAGTTTAGGCCTCGTTTAGTTGCGCCGATTCGGCGCCGACAAAAACACTGGCGTTTTGTTTTTATTTGGTAATAATTGTCCAATCGTTGACTAATTAGGCTCAAAACGTTCGTCGCAAAGTACAACCAAACTGTGCAATTATTTTTTGATTTCGTCAATATTTTATACTCCATGCATGTACCGTAAGTTTAATGTGACGGGAAATCTTATTTTTGCACAGTGACAAAGTTTGGAACTGGGAACTAAGGAGGTGTTTGGGACCGCTCCACAAACTCTGCTCCACAAACTCCACCGTGGAGCAGCTCCACAAAAAACTGGAGTTTGTGGAGTACCTCTTTAGGTGATCTCACAACTTCACCCCTTAGCCTCATGCACCGGATGCGTTCTTCGTAATGGGCGGCGGATTCGAGTCTCGAGAGGACTCGCCTGCTCTAGGGTTTGGTGCCCCAGTCGCTGCCCGCGTCTCCGCCCTCCGGCCAGGTCACTGGCGCTAGGAGGCGTTAAATCGAGTTGGCGACGCCTCTCTCACCCGCCCCCCATCGACGTCGGGGGGCATTCCTGGGCGGCGTCGGCGACCTCGCGCGGATTCTGTCACCCGTTCCGGCGTTCCCCACCGCTGGCGGGCGTTCCTCGCAGCGACGGCGAGCCCGCACGCGCGCACCTCCGCGCACTACTGACTCTTCTGTGCAGATCGAGCCGTCCCGCCAAGGTGAGTATCCTCTATCCGGACGCAGCTTTGTTGCGTACAAGCGTTCGCCGTCAACTCAATCCCGTGAAACCCATGCTTAATTGTACTAAGAGCGTACTAAGTCATTAGTGAGCATGACAGATTTTCCTTTATAAGGAGAGTTGACAATCTGTGAGCATGAGAGATCTTCACTTAAGGTTAACATGGCAGCCTGAAATTTGTTTAAGCAATAGAAACTATATATCAGTTAATGTTCACATAGAAGCATCCTCCATATTATGAGTGGATGTTTCACTCTGTTTTTTTATGCAACTTATGAACTTAAAGCAGCAATGGGCATGCATATGTTCTCGACATAATCCAAGCAATAGCTGCAAATAGCTCCCTTAAGCATATGTATTCATGTTGCTGCATGTACTAATTTTACTTCTACCTTTTGGTTGGTCCCTAAAAAAATAGCTTCTGTTAATTTCTATACGCTGCATTCAGCTCTAGAAGATAGTGGTTGCAAGATAAGTTTTGGATCCATGTATTGCACCTTGCTTTCAAACTAAGTGGCTCTTCTGCAGAACATTTTTTACAACAGTTTTTTGCTCCTAGAGTTCGATTTTAGGCCAACTCAAATGTAAGTGCAGTTTCAGTCCTAGTGCAACTATGGAATCGTGCAGGCATCTACTGATTCGAAATTGTGTTTGTTCATGACCTGTTGTATCATGTAAATATAGATTTGTGTTCGGCATCTTTTGCATATTGGTTCCTTTTTTTAGACATGTTTCATATTTTCTCCGCCAGTGGGTAATTATTACTGTGTGCAGTACGTCGATTTGCTTCCAGTCCTTTTCAACTCCATCTTGTTACTTGCCTGTTCCAGTCCTGTGTTGGACATTTCGGTAGAGTTTCTGAATTCTGATCTACATCTGATATCTCTTTATTGTTCCTGTAATAGTTCAAGCATAAAGGTTTCTTGCTATGAAATCAGTGAAGTTGACAAAGCTTGCACTTTATACAACACCAATTATCAGTTAGAAACTCAGAAAATAAACATCTATCCTGATAATTCTGACTGAAAGGTGACAACTCTGGCTTACTCCTCGATGTCATCATGCTCTCCACCTGAAGTTCGTGGCTACGATTTGCTTACAACTCCAGCAAGGCACAATCCCATCATGGCAAGTGTTAGTTACTTTACCCTGTATCTTGCTGTTGGTAATGCATGTGTGACGTATAAATCTTGTAAGTAGAAAGACATATAATGCAAAGTTACACACAGATGGATCGAGGCCGTGCTCATTGGGATGACCACACTACAAGAATGTTCCTGGACCTTTGCATCGCTGAGAAGGAAAAGGAAAACTATAACAGTAAGGGGTTAACCAAGATAGGGTGGCACAATCTGTATCGCAATTTCAAAGAACACACACGCAGGGTTTATGATACCAAACAGCTGCAGAACAAATTTAACAGCCTGAAAAGGATGTACAATTTATGGAGGCAACAAAACGACAAGACTAGAGGCGGGTGGGACAAGAATTCAAGCACCATTACACAAGATGCTGACGCATGTGACAATCAAATCACGGTAACTACAGTTTGTTATGTTTAATGTCAATTCTTTTTTTCGTTGAGTTTAAAAGTGCTCCTGTAGTTGGACATCTGATTGTTATCAATTGCAGAAAAGTTTATGTTGAATTGTCCTCTATCTTACGTATTCACCGTACTGGCTTGTAGGAGAATAGTGCAGCAGAAGACTTTCGTGGCAAGGCGCTTGCACACGAGGATGCGCTCACCATTCTTTTTGGCTCCATGGATGGCAAAGACAGTACAAAGTTGTGTGTTGGTGGAACTGGTGATAGGACACCAAGTGGGGGAGGTGAAGATAACTTTGCACGAGTGTCAGAGGTCAATGTCGGTTGTCCGGAGGAGAACATAGGATGCTATAGGATTGGCCGTGTGTCCCAATGGTCAAGCCAGGAGCATATGGTTGACAGCCGCCCAACCAAGAGGTATAAGAATACAGGGTACTATGGCGAACTCATATCTGAGAGCATGCTTGAAAGTAGGAATGAAAGCAATGCCATCTGGCGTGAGCAAGAGGAGGTGATAGAGTTGCTGCAGCTTGTAGAAAAGGATGGTGTATCTCAAGGATCTGAGTTGTTTTTTATAGCTACTGAGCTATTTAGGTCACCAATCCGACGTGCGGCTTTTAGGTGCATTACCACTCCAAAGAACCGAATTGCATGGATCCGATGGACTTGGGATAATGTTAAGATGTGATATGGTCCATGCTTAGTTTTCAGTTGCTTGTGCTAGGCATGCCTGAGTGGAATGTACCCATGGTGACATAGGGACACAAGGAAGCATTATATCTGTACTGCGAATTATGTTATGCTGAACCTTCTACCCTTGTTTTAGTTTTTAGTTAATTAGATGTTGATGCCCCTTGTTACAACTGCTTCAAATATGCAAGTCCAGTAAGTATTGGGTGATGTCAACATAAACAGCACAAAGGCTCCGCAGATGTGTATTAGAAGTCTTCGTCCGGCAGTTCGTGACAAACTATTTTATTATTAAATATATACAAAGTTCCATCACAGTACGTTCTGTCAATATATACAATGCACACATAAAAGTAATAGGGCACTCGATGTCTAGCATAACCAGAAACAATCATGCGTGGCACGCCATCCAAACGATGTCTTGCTCAACTACCTTGAGTCCTCTGCTGGCTAAGGGAGACTAGTAACCGCAATGTTTTCTTATTTACAATCCAAGTGCAGAACATAGCTATGCCTGCACCAATTTATCTGAAAATCGAAGCAGAAGGATTACAATGCATAGGAAAATAATGGCGACTTCAATGACTGCATCTAAGCCCATCAATTGCTCTGCCATTTTATTAAGAGTTTCACGCCCAAGCACCTGTCAAAACATGAGCTTTAGAGTAGGTACATCTTCCAAGTATCACCAAATCAAGTGATACATATCCCTTACAGGGAAAAAATTGAGAACCAACTATTATGACAGTAACAACAGGCAACAAACTGTTACACGTGTGTTTCTAACTAGTTAGGGAGATATCACATGAATAGCATATAGAGGTGAAAATAAGCAATAATCTCCTTTTTACTGCTAAGTAAATCTTTATTTCACATTGTCAGGAAACTTCTTTTTGTTTACATTAAAAGAGAATCGATAAAAAAAGTCCTATCTAACACAGCACCTTGTAAATAAAATATCAGTTGCAGAAAACAGATGCTATCCTATGACTAGAGATTAATCTTGATTAACCATTATCTAGATGGTCTAATTGTGCATCCATGCTGTCTAGACGCTAGACATGACAGCCTTGACTAGCATTTAGATGTCATCCAGAATCTAAGACGTCTAGGACTCTAGGTGAATCATCACTGAACTATGAAAAAGGGTCTAGTTTATTCAACATACTCAAAAATGTTAATTTCCTATACTGACATACTGTATGAACTAAAGATAATATAATCCATGATAAGAGGGGCAGAGGGAAGAAACTCGAACCTCTAAATGGTAATTCAATTTAACAGGGAGGTTCTGCTCTGCATGTCGGACACAGTAATGTAACATATCCAATACAGCCATATCAGTTTGGTAATCATCAGATCCTGTGTAGAATATATCAGATACTACACTCAAAATGTTTCATATTATATCATGATAAAAGTACGGATACCGTACCTGGTATATCATAAATTTGCTGGGCAGGAATGTTTAGAAGCTCTGCTAACTCCTTTTGAACATGAGCACGTTGCTGTATCGATAGTCTATCACCATGTGTGACAACAACAACAGGTTTGTCATCTGCAATAAAATTTGTTATAATCACATGATGTCTACGATAGCAAGTATAAATTTATCAATAGAGAACAAACATCATTCATGAACAAGGTGACGATTAAAGCTAACAATTTAAATCAACAACCTGTATACGAGCCTCTATTCTATAGCAGGTGAGATCTGAATTGAAGAGAATATCACAGGATCAAAACATATATTTCATTCATAAAGCAGTATATGTGAACATAAATCTGTATTCAGGAAATTTCCTATGATAATAATGATAAAATGGATATATAAGGTTTGTGTGCATCTTAGCAATCCCTACCTCCAATCGATAAGAACGGATACATAAAAGTTTGATAGAGTATCTCAGTGTATCCTTTATTGTTGCTATCAATTGACTCAAGGACAGCGACACCATCAACAACAAATATCACGAAATTGACCTTCCGGGTTATGTAACGAAGAAAACTGTATTGCCTCCCCAATGGTTTGATGTCCCCTGTCTTATTGCCTTCATCATTATCCCTGTGTAAAAATGTTCAGAAATTTAATGACTTTAAGTTATATATTGAGTTGTAAATCTTTATATGTTACTTCCTTATCTTAAAATAATAAAGGAAGTTTGTGAAATTGAAACAGAAAAACGGAAACAACATTAAAGTATAACAATACTCTGAATGCCATGCAATGATGAGTGCAATTGTCATAAAATTCAAAACATATCCAGATCCTGGCTAGAAATACTATGTCCTGTGAAAGAGAATGGGAGAATTTTCATGGTGATCCTCATTGAGGCCTTAAATTCTTATAAAGCATACAGCAGGTAGGTAAGTAATTCAGGACAGCTGTCCTATTGATGCCTGAATTCTATCATATCCGTGCACAAACGAGAGACAAAAAATCCAGTCACAATCTATAGTTAGTCCTAAGAATCTGCCTCATTCTGCAATCTGTATATGGCTGGTGACAGCTGAAATTATATTTGAACATACTGAATGGCAAAAGGTTGATTACTCGAATCTGTTGTCAGAAATATGAGAATTACTCTCTCAGAAAATTATAAACAGTTTGTACAGAGGCATACAGTGTACAATATTTTTCTAGTCTCAAGACAGAAAACAAAGAGTTAGCAAGTCACCCCTTACCACATTGTTGTCTCCCCATGGCTTATTCCTTTTGTCATCCATTGATGCAGGATTTTGAAATTTTTCTCTGGGTCATTTGACCAGCCACGTGTATCATAAACACATATGGCATTTGAATTCCTTGGAATTGGATACTCACGAAGAAAGATTGTACCATTTGATTTTGAATTGCCTAACAAAATCAATTTAGGTTTAATCGCTTGAAATCAAATTCAGTTGTACGTCACCATGAAATAGCATCCCCCAAAAAGGACAAGACTTACATGACACCAGTGCTCGAGCTGGTGCAAAAGGATCATCATCCTTGTCAAAGACCCTTGTAATTCGGTTTACAAGTGTGCTCTTGCCAGAACCTCTAGGGCCCACCAGCAGCAATGTGGTGATCTCAGGCAAGAGAAAATGTCCAGCCTTTGCGCCGCCAACTCCTTCAACCCAGTCACCAGGCTTATACCTGCTCATAGGTTGACTTTCTAATGAAGCATTTACTGAATTAGAACATAACAGAGTGAACTTTCCTAGAGAATTATAGTGCAAGGTAGCACCCTTTTTGTTTCAGTATTTATGTATGGTTGTTTCATTAAAGAAGTATAGTCACCATTTAAAGTTTTCTAAGAACAGACTACAGAGCATAGTGTATAAAGAAGAGAAAATGCAGAGCTGAAAAGCACATGCTATCATATTTACATGACTATTTACATATTTTCAGACCCTAAAGGCATCGTTTCTTCAGTTCATGCCATGAAAAAACAGCAAAACATGCACTCCATGGAAATTTAGGTATGTCTATGGTATCAGACCGTACAAGTAGTAATCCTGGAAATTTTCAATGTAAAAAGCAGGACGAAGTGTCACAGACAAGAAGGGGTGCTTTTCCCCCAAATGCATGGTACCGTTTTCGTGCACGCAACACAATTTCATCATTATAAAAAAACAAAATGATCTTTTCCACTAGTCCTTCACATAGTCTTGTATATATATATCAAGAAAAAACAACAATAACAATCAGGTTACCTCCTGATGATCTCTTTCGCCTCACGCAGTTGGCGGTTGAAGTGGACCTCTTTCGCCTCACGCAGTTGGCGGTAACGGATGGCGTCCACCTCGTCGTCGTCGCAAACGCAACACTCATCTGATCCGTCGTCATCGGAGACCGGCGAGACGGCCACGTACTCGGCGAACTCTACACCCGCACAACCAGGTCAAATTCAATTGGACAGGGTGAGGAACTGAGAGAGCAGTAACTCGATCAATAAGGTATGGCAAGACAATCACCAGGAGGAAGGGACTCCGACGAGCTCGACGGTGAGGAGGGGGTGCTGGTGGGAGTGAGTTCGCCGCCGCCGCCCATGGATTCTCACCTTGGATTTCGCGCGAGGGGATCGGGACGGGGGGCGAAGATGGGGACGTGGGTTAGCTTTAGTCCTTTTTAGAGCAAATATCAACCGACTACAATAATATTATTACCTATTGAAATTAAATCATTTTAATACTATTTTTATAGAATCATTAGTGGTTTTACCGTCCATTGTCCATCTAAATTATTTGTTCTAATGCCAGATTGGTCCACTGCAAATTAATTAATTATTATTTGTTTTTTCCCATCTTCCTTATTGTATTCGACCATATCTTTCTCTTCGTATCTCAGTTCATAGTTGGTCATCTCTACTGCTTCCTCCATACTAGTAATTCAAGTCGTTTTGGACAAGACTTGGTCAACAGGCATCGTGAAGTCTTGTAAACTTCTCACCTTTTCTCCCCTTTTTATCGTCTAATAAAAATTGCGGTAAAGTTTTTGCAATCCTTTCTAAAAACATTGGGAATATAAATCATGAATAAATTGTTGAGTTCGAAAATATAAAAACTATATGAATAGATCTATCTTCAAAAGTACTTTCATAAAAATATACATATATAACCTTTTAATAAATATTTTTTATAAAAATAAAAAGTTAAAGTTATGCTTTCAATACCGTATCACTGTCCAAAACGACTTGAATTACTGGAGATAGTAGTTTTTTAGAGTAGTACAAGTCCTCAATACGATGTAGCTATAAGCGGAGATGAAAGCTCTAGTTTGGTTTTGGTGAATTGATAAAACCCTAAGTGTTAACCTAGTTTATCAAAGTGATTATGAGATAGGTAACACTACTCTAAGTGGTGAAGCAAATGAAGATCATGACATGATGATGGTGATGCTATGGTGATGATCAAGTGCTTGGATTTAGAAAAGAAGAAATAGAAAAACAAAAATCTCAAGGCAAAGGTGAAATTAATAGGACCTTTTCGGTTTAAGTGATCGAGACACTTAGTGAGTGTGATCATATTTAGGATCGATAGTCGTACTATTAAGAGGGGTAAAACTCATATCGAAATACGGTTATCAAAGTGTCACTAGATGCTCTAACTCATTGCATATGCATTTATGATCTAGTAAAGTGCTAACACCCTTAAAAACATTTGAGAAAATATGCTAACACATGTGCACAAGGTGATACACTTGGTGGTTGGCATATTTGATCAAGGGTGGTGAAGTTCAGGGTCAAAAGGAGAAGTTTCGTATTGACCGGACTCTGCCTTGGGCAGTGACTAGACTCTGACCCCGCTTCTGGTCACTGGCGCGCAGTGAAGGCCGCCCTCGGTCCCTTGACTGAACGCTGAAGAGAAAGAAGGACCGGATGTGCCGGGGGTGCGTCTGATCACCTAGTGACGTACGCTTATGCAAGCAACAGAGAGAGGCTAAGTTGACCAGACGCAGGCCTAGGTCCGGTCATGAGCCACCAGACGCATCCGGTCATGAATTTTTGCCTCTGGAACCTTACTAGATGTGACCGGACGCCAGACGATAGTGCGTTCGATGGCAACTTAACACGTGACGCGAAGCAGACTAGCCGTTAAGATCGAGCGCTTAATATTTGAGGCTGATGACACGTGGCGAGCGTCGGGCGACCGGCCGCTGGGGTCCTGCATCCGGTCAACCTGACCAGCGCGTCCGGTCAGCCCGTGTTTCAGAGGACTGAGGAGCCAATGGCTCTATTTTGTTGGGGGCTCTATTTAAAGACATGTGGCTGGCTCTAGCTCACTCTCTTGGCCATTTGTATTGACATAGCAACCTTGTGAGCTTAGCCAAAGTCCTCCCACTCATCTCCATCGTTGATTCATCATCTTTGTGAGATTGGGAGTGAATCCAAGTAGATTGCTTGAGTGTTTGCATTTAGAGGCACTTGGTGTTCGTATTTCGCTACATGATTCGCTTGTTACTCTTGGTGGTTGTCACCACCTAGACGGCTTGGAGCAGCGAGGATCGTCGAGCGGAGGTTGGTGATTGTCTCCGGCTCCGATAGCGGTGATTGTGAGGGGTTCTTGACCTTTCCCTAACGGAGAGCCAGAAGGTACTCTAGTAAATTACCCGTGGCTTATGTGATCCTCATCTTGTGTTGGTTGTGCGGCACCCTATTGAGGGTTTGGCGCGTGATGCCAATTAGCGCGTGAACCTCCAAGTGAGTGAATTGCCACAGCGAGGACTAGCTTGCCGGCAAGCAAGTGAACCTCGGTAAAAAAAATCATTGTGTCATCATTTGATTCCGAGGTGATTGGTCTTTATTGGTATTCATTCTTATGATTGATTGGTTCATTCCTCGACTCGACGGTATAACCATCTTGCTCTCTCTCTTTACATTACCATAAACTAGTTGTCAAGCTCTTTAGTGTAGCTAGTCGTGAGAGCTTGCTAATTTGGTTAGTGTGGCTCTTAGTTAGCCTTTGATAACACACTAACTTAGTGTAGTGACATAGCCATTGTGTGGATAGAGACTATAGAAACTAGAATTGTGGTAGGTGGTTTGCTTTTTTAGTAGGCTAGTGCAACACTCACTTCGTCTCATATTTGTCTAACCGGTTTGCTAAGTGTTGTTGTAGAAATTCTTAATAGGCTATTCACCCCCCACTAGCAATTAGGACCTTTCAAGTGGTATCGGAGCCAGGTCACCATGATTTGAGGCTTAACAACCTTCGGTGTCAAAATGGCTCAAATCAACAACATCAAGAAGCCACCCTAATTTGATGACATAAATTATCCATATTAGAAGTCCAAGATGATCACACATATCAAGTCAATCAATAGAAGGGTGTAGAAAGTGGTAGAAACCAAAATTGAGATTGCCAATTCGGAGAATCCCACCGCGACCGAAGAAGTGCTTCTCCAAAACAATGACATTGCTCTAAGTGACATTCATGATGCAATTGATGAGAGAACATTTGAGCAAATCAAGAACATTGAGATGGCTCATGATGCCTGAAAGAAGTTGAAAGAATTATTCGAGGGTACCAAGGCAATAAAGGGTGCAAAGGTATACATTCTCAAGGAGAAATTTGCTAGCTTCAAGATAAAGGAAGATAAGAGTGTGCTGGACATATTCTATCGGATGGAAGTGCTTGTCAATAATCTCAAAGCACTTGGTGAGAAGATGGAGGAAAATGACTTCTCTCATAAGTTCTTGAAATGCTTACCCACAAGATTTGGCATGTTGGTCACCTTGCTAGTGAGGACCGGTTTGGACACAATGACACCAAACCAAATCTTAGGAGATATCATGACCAATGATGCTTATAGAGATGATGATGAGAAGGAAGAAAAGAAGGAGAAGAAGGATGACAAGAAAAAGAGTGTGGCATTTAAGGACACATCATCCAAGATCAAAGCAAAACAAGAATCATCAAGTGAAGATAAAGACTTGAGCTTTGATGAGATGGATGATGAGAAGATGGCTCTCTTTGTCAAAAGATTTGGCAAGTTCATAATGAAGAAGGGATACCGTGCTAGAAGAAAGAAGTCTTCATCTATGAATAAGGAAGAGTTAAGAAGGTGCTTCAATTACGGAAGCAAAGATCATCTTGTTGCTCAATGCCCATACAATAGTGACAATGATGATGACAAGAAGAATAAGAAGAAGGACAAGAAGGAAAAGAAAAGGAAGAAGGACAAGATTACCTTTAAAAAGAAGAAAGGTGATTCATATGTGGTCACTTGGGATAGTGATGCTTCCTCAAGTGATGATGATAGTGATGATGACAAGACCACAAAAAAAAGGCACTTACAAGCATTGCTATTAATGAGAAGCCTTCTCTCTTCGACACTCCATCATGCTTTATGGCTAAGGCCACTAAGGTACAAACTTGTGATGATGGAAGTGATGAGGAACATGATAATGAAAATGAAAATAAAAGTGATAGTGATGATGATGAACCAACTAAGGATGAACTACTTGGCATGCTAGTTAATGCTAAAGAACACTTCGACATTAAGAGAAGGGAATGCAAAAGCTTGTGTAAGGAATTAAAAGCCCTTAAGCAAGCCTTTGATGAGCTCAATGCATCTCATTAGAGGCTAGAGGAAGCCCATGAGAAGCTTGGAAAGGCTCACAAGAAGCTTGAAAAAGCTCATTCCTCTTTGCTTGATGAGCAAAGTAAGAAGTATGTTAAGACATGTAATGTAGGCTTAACTTGTGACTTAATCGATGAATCATTATATAAGCCTATCATTGTTGCTCCCACTAACCTTTATTGTAGCACTTCTACTTCTACCTCATCTAATAGTGATGGTTTCACTTATGATGCCTCACTAATGGTTGAGAATGAGACCCTCAAGAAGTAGATTAATGAGCTCACTCACACCTTGGCTAAGGCCTATGGTGGTGAGTACCGCTTGCTTATGTGCTTGGGTTGCTAAAAGAGCTTCTCTCTATAAAGAGGGATTAGGCTATACCCCCAAGAAAGGCAAGGCAACATTTGCTCCTCACAAGACTAGTTTTATGAAAAACAATGGTCGATTTTGTACTAGTTGCAAGCAAGTTGGTCATAAAGAGCATGAATGCAAGAACAAGAGAAAAAATGCTAATGTATCCTCAATTAAGATTAATTCTTTCTATGTGCTTACCAAAGGTGCAAATGGTGTAAAGGCTAAGTTTATTGGTACACCATGGATGGGCTCAAAGAAGAAAGCAATTTGGGTATCAAAGAGCTTGGTCACTAACCTTCAAGGACCCAAGCAAGTTTGGGTACCTAAAAAGAATTGATCTTCTTTTATAGGTCAATTACAAAGCCGGAGAAAGACATTGGATTCTTGATAGTGGGTGCACTCAACACATGACCAGTGATGCAAGAATGTTCAACTCAATCAATACCAATGGCAATGATGGTTATGATAGTATCATATTTGGTGACAATGGCAAAGGCAAGGTCAAAGGGCTTGGTAAGATTGCAATATCCAATGACATGAGCATATCCAATGTGTTGCTAGTAGAGAGCTTGAACTTCAATTTGCTATACGTGGCTCAATTGTGTGATCTTGGA